TTCACAGTTTAGAAGTAATTAATGTCTATAATTTTGAGAGTTCAATTCCAAGTTTATAGTGGAGTAACTATTGAAATTAATAGAATTAATTAATTAATTAATTAAAGTGTTTAAGTAATTATTAATTTTATTAGAGCTCGGGATTATAGATCCATAAGTCATCGCGTCGTCCTTGTAATTCTACCATACACAAAGGATAAAATGAGAATTTTATAATTATGGAATTCTAAAATTAAATACTCAAAAAATAATTAATTGAGAATTAATTATTATTTAAATAATGTGATTATTTAAATTTGAATTTGAATCATGAACATAATTTAAATTTATCCTTTTAAACTTATTTGATAAGTTGTTCAATTTAGAATTCAAATTAATTTAAGTTTGACTTAAATTCGAATTTGAATTTGAATTAAAATTGGACTACAGGATAAAGGATGATTTTCTCTTCCTTCCCTATCTGCAATTTGGTGCCACATACAGGGATAGGAATCCCTAATATGGCCGCCCACAATAGATAAGGTAGAGGAGAATTTTTTGTTCAAAATTCAAACAGGAGAGAGAGAATTGATTCCTTTTAGAAGTTGAACTTCTACTCTATAAATAAGGGATGGTGAAAAATTGCACGAGACGAAATTTTTTAACCTAATTAATAAAGGGCTGGCCGAATTTTCCTAAGAGCAAAAGAAAGAAAATTTTTCTCCCAAAAATTCCACATCGTGCATGCGTTGGTGTTTGTAGAAAATTCGAGTGTTTAATCAAACCTGTTTTTGTCTCACGTGTGCCCACACACATGTCTACGTGGAATCAAAGAATTGACGTGGAAGACTTTGGTTTTCTAAACACAAAGATTAGAGCAAGGATTGTTCCTGGTCAAAGAACTCAAGTTATCATCCGAGTCGGCCTTCAGGTATTTTTCCTAATTGAGTTCTTGATATATAAATTAATGTGATTAATTTATTCGTGCATTAATTAATATAATCTATAGAGTATCTCAAAAGTTTTATGAAAATTTTTGTTATACTTGATCCGCCTCCCCGCCACGCTTCTGCCTCCGAATTCGATTTGGCCACCAGCAGCAAGTTCTAAGAAGAAATGCAAGCACATCTCAGTAGTTTGGGACCACGTCAACACATTCGAGAAGGTCGACAATAACGGAAACATTAAATACATAGCTCAATGTAAATATTATGGTGATAAATTACAAGGTAATACTATTCACGGCACTACACACTTGAGAAGACTCTCTGAAAAGTGTCTTCAAAAGTAAGGAGGCGGAGCCGATCTCCGCCAAACACAATTATCATTTGACTACCAAACCGGCGGTCTAAGCACGTGAAAATACGATCCGCAAGTTGATCGTATGGAAATGACACGATTAGTAGCCATATTAGATCAACCACTTAGTTTTACTGAACAAAGAAATTGGCAGCGTTATATTAAAATTGTACATAATCCTAATGGACAATTTTTTTATAGAACTACTCTTAGGAAAGATGCATTAAAATTATATAAACAAGAAAATGAAGCATTAATCAACCTTTTACACTCTACTAGTGGTTACGTTGCGTTAACGGCAGATATTTAGTATGCCGTTGCCAACAAAGATTATTTAGCTGTAACCAGACATTATTATAAAGGTTTTGATTTGGATAAGAGAATCTTAGGTTTTAAATGTGTTATAGGATCACATACTGCCAATTTAATATATAACACAATTTTATCTGTCATTGATGAATATAGTTGAAGAGATAGAATAATGGCCATAACATTAGATAATGTAACTGCAAATACTAAAGTAATAAAACTTTTTGAAAATGATTTAAGTTTATTCGGTAATAATGATATATTTCACCAACGTTGTGCATGTCATATAATTAATTTAATAGTAAAATCTAATTTAAAATCAATGTCAGGTCATATTAAAAGAATTAGAGATAACATTACTTAGATTCAAGGTAGTAATCAAAGAATACAATATTGGTTTAGATTTCTACAAGCATGTAATCAAAATCTTAGAGCATTAGCCTTAAATATACCTATAAGATGGAACTCCACTTACATAATGCTTGAACAATGCATCCCCTATAGAGATGCTATAACAAATTATGTTAGTATAAAATTAGGAGCATGATTTATAGATAAAATTGATTGGCAAATTGCCGAACTCTTGTTTAACTTTTTAGGTAGATTTCACGAAGTTACTTTAACGCTTAGTGGAACTTATTACCCAACGTCACCATTAGCGTTAGGAGAACTTTTAAGAATGTCTATTTTATTTAGTGAATTTAGGACACACGAGATTTTAGGAGTTCCTATCGCCTCTATGGAAAAGAAGTTTAAAAAATATTGGTCTAAATTGCCAATGTTGTATGGTTTCGGTGTTATTTTTGACCCTAGATTAAAATTAGATGGCTTAGAAAGTGGATTAGATAACTTAGGTGACTTTTTAGCTATCGACACTACTGACCAATTTCCTATTATAAAGGAAAAAATATTTTCTCTCTATAGCTTTTATGAAAGTAGGTTTAGAAACACACCTCATGTAGAAGAACCGCAACAACGAGATGACAATCCACATTCATTCTTGAATGTTTTTGGGTTGTCTACGAAGAGAAGAATACGACGACGACAACTCAAGGTCAAAAAGAATCTGGGAGTGGATCTTCATCAAGAGGTGGCGGCAACAGCGGCGGCTTCAACGAGTTAATGTCGTACCTGAGTGAGGGCTTAGTTGTAGGCAATAGTGAAATGTTTGATTTGGTTCAGTGGTGGAGGGCACGAGCATTAACTTGGCCAATCCTAAAATGACTAGCAATGGATATTTTTTCGATCCCAGTCTCCACTGTTGCAGTCGAACAAGCATTCAGTACAACCGGCCGAATACTTGAAGAATGGAGAAACGCATTGCAACAAGATATTGTTGAAGCTTTGGTGTGCATCAATGATTGGGATCGTTCCGACCAACGCTTACACGATACAATCTCACTGGCAAGCCAAGACTGGATCGACGAATTTAATAGACTAACTTTTAATTTTCAAGACGATCCTTCTACTTCAAATTAAATTTTATTATTGTAATTTGTAAATATTTATTTACTTTGTAATTTGTATAGTGTTATTGTAATCTTGTATAGACTTTGTAAGTTCGTCAAATTTGTAATTCGTCCCACAATGATTGCACTCTTTTCTCTTTACCAAGTTTTTATCTCAATTGAGTTTTTCTTGGTAAGGTTTTTAACGAGGCAATCATGAATTACAAATTTAAAAATCAATAAAGAAATAATTTTTTATATAATTCATGTGTTCATTTCAAATTTCAAATTGTAATATATATATATATATAACATAAAAATATAATATAAAAAATATTTAAATTTTCAGGCTTTCTCGGTCGGGCATCGGACAGCCAAAGGCTGCCCGAAGCCCGTCCAAGGAGATTTTTAGGTCGGGTCGGGCAACCCAAAAATTTGAACAGTTTGAGCTCGATAATCAACTAAAAATTCAGACTTTTCAATAATCACGAGCTGTACATCTAAAATTTCAACACTAGACCCACCTAGTGCTGGAACTTTGGACGGGCCGCCCGCAACCGCCCGAAAAGCCCGACAACCCAAAAATTTGAACAGTTTGAGCTCGATAATCAACTAAAAATTCAGACTTTTCAATAATCACGAGCTGTACATCTAAAATTTCAACACTAGACCCACCTAGTGCTGGAACTTTGGACGGGCCGCCCGCAACCGCCCGAAAAGCCCGAGGATTTGCCCGAGCCCGAACCTGACCCGCCCGAGATTTTGGGGCCGCCCGCCCGAGCCCGAATTTTACCTTGAACGGGCCGCGGGCTTGTTTTCGGCGGCCCGAGCCCGCCCGAATTGCCCGAATTTTTTAAACTTTTTTTTTAATATTAAGTTGTTTATATATATATTAGTATTACAATTTATATATATATTACAATTTGAAATGAACACACGAACTATATAAAAAAATTATTTCTTTATTAATTTTTAAATTTGTAATTCATGATTGCCTCATTAAAAACCTTACCAAGAAAAACCCAATTGGGATAAAAACTTGGCAAGGAAAAAAGAGTGCAATCATTTTGTGACGAATTACAAATTGTACAAACTTACATTGTTTATTAAATTACAAATACAATGTAAAAAGTAAATACATATTTACAAATTACAAATTTACAATTTAATTTGAAGCTAAGGGATCATCTTCAAAATTAAATGTTAATCGATTAAATTCATCGATCCATTCTTGGCTTACCGGTGAAATTGTATCTTGTAGACGTTGATCGGCCCGATCCCAATCCTTAATGCAAACCAAGGCTTCAACAATATCCCTTTGCAATGCATTCCAGCGTTCCTCAAGTATTCTTCCTGTCGTACTGAAAGCTTGTTCGGATGAAATAGTGGAGACTGGGATCG